GATGAACAGCAGGTCATGAAAACCTAGGTCATTAAAGGATGTCATGAATTATTTGCTTAAACATAAAAGTATTAGTTCCATTACAACAATTTTCATAGTTATCTGACTTTTGATGCATATTTACTATAAAAAGAGCAAAAACAGATTTTAAATCTATTCAAAGTGTCAGGATTATTGCTGGGTGTTATTATTGTATTAATATAATTGCTTTAAATGGTACGAAATAAATTTCATAAAAAAAATAAACAATTCACCAGAGGCCCTGTGGGTATTTTTTAGATATTTATTTTCCTGCTCATATAAAAAACAAATAGTTTACATTAACATTGTTGAGAAATAACAGTTTGTTTTTTCTAACTCTGCAGATTTGATCCAGAGTGAAACTTTGAAAACATCACAGCAGCTGCAAGAAGAAAACTGTTGATAAAAACATTCAGGAAGTTCAAACTGAATCTCTGTTTTCTTTCAGAGGCCCGGCAGGAACTGGTCCACRAGACGGAGCTGGATCTCAGAGTCCAGCAGCTTCGCAGCCAGGACAGGAACTCCGGTCTGGACCAGGAGGAACCAGAACCTGCAGAGTTTGAGGACCAGGAAGAACCAGAACCTGCAGAGTTTGAGGACCAGGAAGAACCAGAACCTGCAGAGTTTGAGGACCAGGAAGAACCAGAACCTGCAGAGTTTGAGGACCAGGAAGAACCAGAACCTGCAGAGTTTGAGGACCAGGAAGAACCAGAACCTGCAGAGTTTGAGGACCAGGAAGAACCAGAACCTGCAGAGTTTGAGGACCAGGAAGAACCAGAACCTGCAGAGTTTGAGGWCCAGGAAGAACCAGAACCTGCAGAGCTGAAAGAAGAAGAAGAAAAAGAAGAAGAAGAGATAAAACTTTTAGACATTAAAACAGAACGTGAAGAACCAGAACCAGAGTCTCCACAGATCAGTGACGATCAGGAGGGTTCAGAACCAGAACTCGTGCACATTAAAGAAGAATGGGAGGAACCAGAACCAGAATCAGACCAGGYGAAAGACGAGGAGGAGGACCAGCTCCGGCTGAAGCAGGAAGCAGATACGGATCAGGTGACGGTTGAAGAAAATGACCACAGCCAATCAGAACCCGACACGGAGCGACCCTGTTCTCAGAGTTCTGCTGGACCTCAGAAACAAGAGCGGGAGCTTAGATCAAAGAGAATCAGAGCGAAGAAGACAGACCTTCGGGTTTCTGACAAATCGGACCCGCCCGACACGTCGATTTACTGTCCGATCTGCGGGGAAACCTTCTCGGACCACCCTCTGCTGGTGAGCCACACCAAGGTGCACACGGTGCGCAGCCCCAACTTCGACAAGCTGCAGTACTGCTGCCCCATCTGCGACAAGAAGTTCACGTCCAGGAACAACCTGGTCATCCACATGAGGAGCCACACCGGAGAGAGACCCTTCTCCTGCCAGGTCTGCGGCCGGCGCTTCAGCAGCAACGGCAACTGCAAGGCCCACATGAGCCTCCACACGGGCCAGAACCAGAACGCCGACAAGTGGCGRCACTGCTGCTCCACCTGCGGCAAGACCTTCGTGCACCGCAGCAGCTTCGCCATCCACGTGAGGAGCCACACGGGCGAGAAGCCCTTCTCCTGCGCCTTCTGCGGGAAGACCTTCAGCAGGAACGCCAACTGTAAGATCCACATGAGGCTGCACACGGGCGAGACACCGTACTCCTGTTTGACCTGTGGACAAAGTTTCACCTTTAACTCGCAGCTGAAGCATCACATGAAGGTCCACACGGGTTGAGCCCTCCTGCCCGTCTTCAAAGACTCTGTGGGTTGTTTGGTCTCSTTCAGATGTTTGTGTCTAAATTAGCTCTGAAACGTCTCGTCGTYGTGTCAGAATGTAGATATTTCTCTCACTGATCTGTGACGCTGAATGTGCCAAAAAAAAAAAAAAAAACACAACAAAGCTCTGGGTGTAACGGTCCGGTTCTGTTCAACAAGAAGAAAAAACTGAAGTTTGGTTTTATTTCTGAAACAATGTGTTTGTATGAAAACAGCTCCTTGTTAGTGTGGAGGTGTCCAGTCCTGGGGTCAGATTTATAAAGCTTGCATAYGCACAAAACAGCCCAGAAACCTGCGAACGCCACTTTTCACACAAAGGTTGTGATTTATAAAATCCAAACTTGACGTGAAAATGTGCGGTGCCTCACAGCTCTGACCCATGCGTACGCTCATTTTGGAGACGAGAAACTGCGACACAGATGGTGAAGTGAGGAATTAGAGCCACACTGAGTAATGATCACTGTCAGATATTTAATTTACCTTCAGAATCAGACTTTTATTCAGCTTTATTAACAGTATTATTTATGAGCCATGAGGACCTTTGAAATAAAAACTGAAATCTTAAATAAAAGTTCACACAACTCCATCTCCTTCCTCCTCAGACGACCCTGACCCACAGGCCCCTCCCTGACCCACAGACCCCTCCCTGACCCACAGACCCCTCCCTGATGAGAGACATTTCAACAGCACGACAGCAAAAGTCACACTTTGGGTACATGCGCAGGGCGCCCCTCACCAGTGTGGATGTGGATATTCGTCACTGCGCGGGGCTGTGGGGATGTGAGGAGACGATCAGCTGCAGATAACAGAGCAGACAGAAGGAGAAGAGCGGTGAACTTCTAACTTTATCTGACTTATTTAATTTTATTTATTGTTTTTATCGTCCTGCAGGCTCTGAAAGCAAATTAATTTGAAGCTGAGTTTCTGATAAAAATCATTAGATTACTCTAAACGTCTGTAAACCTGCAAAATGAGGGAAAATCTGTGTYAATTACAGACATTGTGTTCAGGTGAGCAGCTGTCAGTCAGCACCTGTCTGAACCAATCACTGATCAKCTGACTGATTTAAATACATCTTAACATTCATGAGGTACTTTACATTAACTGTTTATGGTTGAATGTGGGTGTGTAGAGGGTAGAACTTGACTCTGACGTGAAGCTGTGATCTATAAAGGAAAAATGCAGAAACATGCGTACGCACTGTTTGATAAATCTGAATATGTTTTGACTGTACGTTCACTTTTAGGATGGTTTCCACACAATCTTTTATAAGTCCGACCCCTGGTCCTGGAGGCTCTCTATCCTGCAGGTTTGACTTGTTTCTCTGCTTCACTCATTCAATCACCTCTTCAGCTTCTGCAGAAGCCTGTAATTATAGAGCTCAAGCGGCGCTTGGTGACGCTGAAAACTCAGATTTTTCCCGTCAACATGGCAGCAAATGTGTCTTCATGGTCCACCYCTCTGATCAGGTACAGCAAGGTTAGACTGGTCAACAGCAAACTTCCAGATAAAAGAAAAAAGTCATTTTCATTCAGTCTAAAGTGTGAACACTAACCATCAGAGTGCGTGTCAAACTACAGCTTTCATTCAACTTCTGTCTTTAGAAAATATTACAGAAAAACAACAAGTGTTAAATTCACTTCTTGGACTTTAAACTGAAAAACATGTAAAACTGAAGAAGAAATAAAAGATGAAACAGTCAATCCTGCCTCTTATTTTACTATTAGTTAATTAAAATAATTATTTTTGAGAACAGAGCACTAGAAAAACATTTTTGCTCATCAGAAGTAAAGAATTATTATTTGAGGCTGTGATGTTTCAGATGAACAGCAGGTGGCGCTGTCAGCTGCTTCACATCCGCCATTAATAAAAAGAAGGAGAATCACCACAAAACAAGCAGGAAAAAGCTTAAATTATGTGAACAAGAGTTGGAAAGAGTTAATTTAAGCTCCTAGGGTTGTGGTTTGATGAAAGGATGATGGGGTGTACATATTAACATTTATATAAGTGTAAAAAAAAGTGAAATATAATGAGATGTTTAGTTGGAAGTGATAATTTAAAAGTTATTTACTCTGGATTAATTAGGTCAGTTTTAGATTATTAGTATAGTAGCAGCAGATTCAAACCTGTATAAGATAAACAACATCTAATATCAGGCCCTAAAGATGTACAGGTGCTTTCACAACACTTGACAGAGAGAGCAACTAATATTAAATTACTGAGTTAATCTACAGGAACAGAGAAATGATCATCCAACACTACAGGAATAAAACCATTTTTGGAAAAGGAAAGAGATGAAAAGCTTTGGATGGATTATAAGTAAAGTCAAAGAAACTAATCTAGATGTTTTGCCTGTGATACCACCATATTTCCAAATCTAAAGTTGATTTAACATTATTAGAAAAAAGGAATAAAAAGACACATTCTTCTGAATGCATATACGGTAAAAGAGCACATCATTGAATATTATAATTGTGTAAAAATCTCCACAAACACATCCAAAAATACAGACAATAAGGTCAGGGTTCAATTTAACATAAAAATAGGAGAAATTATTAGTGATGGAGTTTCAAAATACAMWGGAGAAATGATTTTATTACTGATTGTTGTTCAATGGGTTGAAGATCGTTACAATTAATAAGTTCATCTTTGGTCAGTATAAGAGAATCAGTCAGAGGAGAAACTCAACAAAGACTTCACAGAATCACAATGATGGGGATTACAGTKCAGGTCGTACTATGGAGTTAAAAGACATGAAACAGCAGATAAATTAGAAAAGGAGAGCACTGAACAAGTTGATATTATTAKTAGAACAGAAATAAAGACATAAAAATAAGGGATGTTGTAAAAACAATGGGAGGAAGAAAGGAGGTGAAGGTGGATTTACAAAATTCACCATAGAAATGAGAAAAAAACAGAAGGCAGGAGACAATTATTAGGACCACTGGACTAAACAGCACTTTTTTATTAATGATGACACTATAGAATATTATTTTTAGGAAGTGAAAAGAGAAACCAGCTCATTCAAAACCAGTAACATGAAAAGTAAATTAGATATTATTGAAAGATAAACAGAGGTTATC